GGCCGGGCGCCCCGACTCGACACAGTCCGCTGGCCGCCAGCAACAAAAAAGCCCACCCCACGCTCCTCTCCAACTTAACGAGGTCCGGGAGGGGGGTGGGGGGCGGTTCTCGTCCAAGTTCTTCCCCCTTTGCTTTGTGGCTGCATCCGAAGCGGACGGACCCGGGAAGGCGTTCACGCTCGCAGACAAGGTTGTCTCCGTGCAGTTTCTACAGCCCGAGTTTAAACTAGTCCTTAGCATTCTCCCCAGCCCTCTGCAATGCGGATGTATTTTAATTCTTAAATTCTTTATGAAACAGCTTTCTAAGTTGGCCTGGATTATTTAGCCTTGCATTTCTTTCATGGTTGAAGTTTACGTGTCTAGATGAGGATCAGCCCTCTAGAAAAGGCATTCAGCTTTTGCACTAAATATATTTTTTACAAAACCACGGCCCCAAAGGTCATCTCCCATTACACACAACACACTGATCAAAAAGGGAAAATATTAACACCAATTTGTCCACTGGAGTTAAATAAAACTTTCTTTAACGTTGCGTTATTCCTAATGTATGTTCATTTGGCCTTTAAAAAATGAGTTATTTAATTTAAAGTAGGCAGCTAATCACGGATCACTCGAGTGCATATTTGGTTAATCCCTCGGCTCCCCTCTTTCCTCCCTCCCCACCAAACTTAAAAAAAAAAAAGCCACCACACACAAAACAAAAACACTCCCCATACCAATCAAAACGTAGCTGTACTATGCACAAAACCAATTTAACTATTTTAAACAATTTAAATATCTGAATAATCACTCAATTTCAAAAGCCCAGTTAACAGGAAGAAATTATTTGTAGTCACTTACATACGCATTCACATACATACTTAAAAACATTGGCCATAGTGTATGCCCTTTTCCCCTAAAACTGGAAAACATGAATTGCTTAAACAAAACCAGCCCCTTTATTAAAGTCAATCCCAACAAACGCATTTGCTGCAACATGATTCCCAACTGGTCTATGTTGCAAACCAGATAAGCCAAAACGACCACATACATTAAATGTGATGTGCCAGTGCCAGGAGAAGATCGCCATAATCGGACCCTCGATTCCAACTTAAAAGGCTTCCAACACACACGCGTTACACGATTTTCCAAATAACATTAATAATAATAACACAGGCTCATTTGCATGCAAAGTGCAATAAGGGGCTAAATCCGCCTGAGAATTCAGTTTAGTTACATTACAGCAGCACCCCCCCCCCCCAAGGTCCACCAAAATCCTTTGCCTTTCATCTAAAACTAGATTATGGTTGTGTCATTCGAGGTCAATTTATTCACTTGAGGTATCTCTACACCAATCTGTTTTTTCAACCAAACTAGGCAGACACGACTTTGCCTGAAAAGCCCTCTTTCAGAAAAGAAAGAAACAGCCTTATCGGACGCTGTGTTTAAAACCCTTCAGCTGCAGAATTATCTATAAACTTGACATTCACAGCCATTGCTTAAAACTGCAAGTCAAAGGATGTGCTGTTAGGAGCACTTACGTATTTCTTCTGAATGATATTCCTCTTGGGTCTTTCCTTGCTCATTCTGAGATCCAAATGCTGATTGCAAAAGGGGACAATTGCTTCATGAATTTAAAGCCGTCAGAAATTTGCAAAAAATATCCTGGTGGTTTTTATTGTTGTTGGTGGTGGTTGATCTTGTAATCCGACTTTTCTTCCTCTTCCCCCAAAGCCAGATTCGCCTTGAAATAAATCCGAAATTGGGAAGGAAAAAAAAAAGGGCCAAAGACGAACGAAGCAAACAAAAAAAAATTCACTTTAGTAAAACACTCATAATGGAAAATTTCCCCCGAAACACATACACACACACACACAAAAAAAAACCGACGCCCTTCACTCCCCCCCTTTTTCCTCCAAAAACTACATCAGCGAAACGTGAAGGTCCTTAGTGTCTGATCTGTAGTTACATCTTGGAAAAGAAAAGGGAGAGATAAATAAAAAATGTTGGAAGTCACGTTTGTGCTGCAGCAGCAGTGCGAGCAGAAGAGTCAACTCCAGCGGCAGCGGCGGCGGCGGCGGCGGCAGCACCACAGCGAGGGCTCGCCGAGTCTCTTTTTTCCAAGCCCCCTAACCAATGAGAGAGAGGCGATCCAGCCCAACTTTAAATGGACTCTGCTTTTATACAAGTTAGGGCTCCTCGCCTAATTCCCCGCCGCACGCCAGCCGAAGGCTCCCACCGCCGAGCCGCCGGGCGCCCGCTCGACCCGGTGCCGACCGCCCCTGACCGCGGCCAGGGGAGCGCTGTAGCCCGGCCACCCCGACCTCCGAGCGGCCCCGACGAACCCTCGCCAGGCAGCCCCGCAGGCAACGCTCCCACGCCGAGCCCAGGCGTGGAATTGCGAGAAGCTCCCTAGCTCGATGCATGGCACGCTCGGTCGCTCCACCTCAACCCCTCTCCCCTGCTTGCCGCTCGCCGCACAGCCGCCCCGCGCCAGTCCCGGCCATGCCCTCCCGTCTACCTGCAGCCGGGCCGCGGGGTGCGAGTGCCCCCGGACGCCCGGCCCCGGGGAGAGCCGCCGATTCCCGGGGCACCTTAGAATGGTCCCCTTGATCTTCTGGAAGTTGTAGTCCCCCGACTACAAAATGGCTATGGCCACGGGAGCCGGGAACTACAATTCCCAGCGTGCCCCGCAGCGCCTGTCACTCAACTCCCCTCCTCGCTCCTCGCCCCCTCCCCCTCCCCGGCCCGGCCAACAAACGCTGGGACGTGTCCCGCGTGCGCCACTGCTA